ATATGCGGCTGTAGACGTCGGCACCAAGGAGCAGGTCCACACGACTAGGTGTACCGAATGCGGGGTTGGCCAGAGACTGAAGATCAAGCCACTGCTCGGCCACGGATGGGTGCAGAGGAGCGGACGGCGATACAAGCCCGAGCTGAGGTAAGCAGAGTGCCGCCAAGGTGATCGGCGGCGCATTTCTGCCCGGGTCGATGTGCAGATGGGCCCGAGTTCTCGAGCGGACGACCGACTCACCTCCTACTCCGGAAATGCTCGCATTGGTGTGCTCCAGCGTGGCGTTGAGCCGTCGCGCCAGGTTCGCAGAGACGATCGTGACTTCGGAGCACGCATCGAGGAGGGCTCGGACTGTCGCGCGCCGGCCGGACGGCCCACTTAGCTGAACGAGAGCGGTCGGTAACACGGCGAGTCAGGAAGAAGGTGACGGGCCCAGGTCGTTGGCACGGGTTGCACGGCCGGGGTCGGCCTTCGGCCGTTTTGGTGATGGCAGACCGTCAGATGGGTCCGATGGCCGTCGACGGCTGCTGTCGTGAAGCAGGCTGTGGTGCTGTTCTCGGCAGTGCTGACAAACAGATCGGGAGGGGCAGAACTTCAACAGGTGGCCCGTTCGGAGGCAATTAAAACATAGTCGGGCTTGGTAGACCAGGTCTCGCCGAGCGTGCGCGTCGAGGCCTTGGAATCGAGCGCAGTGCCCCAGGTAATGGGTTTCGCTGCAGGACGGGCACGGAGGCAGAGCTGCGCTGGTTGCGAGGAAGCGATAGTGCCTCCCAGAAGATGAGAAAGCTGGTGGACAGTTGCTGGGCGTGCTCGCTGGCCACGCTGGGCGAGATGCCTCAATGGAGAGCGCGGCACTGTCGGTGAAGAAAGTTTGTCATGGCGGCGAAAGTCGAAGTCACAATCCCAGCCCTTGTGTTGGTGCCCTTGAGCCGCTCGAGCTCGTCCTTCCAGGCACGCTGGGTAGTTGGGTCCATGCCGGTCATGGCACAAGAGATCAGCCAGTCATACCACTGGAGGACAGGACGGCCCAAAGCTTGCAACTGGTCCCAGTGGCGACTCAGCGTATCAAGGAGGCTCCGCAAACCTCTGACCGACTCGTTCCTTAAAAGCCTGATGTTGCGTAGCGCTGTTAGATGATCGTGTACTAGGAGACGGCGGTGCTTAAATCATGCCTCGAGCGCGGCCTAAGCGGTCGAGTAGTTGGCGCCAACAATCTGAATCACGTCGAGTGCTGTTTTGACATCTCCTTCCACGAGAGACTTTAAGTAAAACAGTCGCTCGACATCGGTGAGCTGTTGATCGTTATGAACTAGTGCTTGAAAGAGATCCCGGAAGCTCTCACAGTCTTCTCTTTTTCCGGAGAAGGCGGTAATACTAATTCGAGGCAGGCGGGATCCACAACTCGATGTAGCGCACCTCGGGCCCGCTCCGCCGTTGCCAGGAGGTGGTGCGAGGATGCTCCTCGCGTTGTAGAGGTGGGCGCGTGACTCTATGTACTCAGCCTCCGATGTCGAGTACATTTGGGTCAGTGACTTCTGCTTCTCGGGAGGAGGTGTCTCGATGAGCCTCAGATGATTGGTCTGAAAGTCGCTCCAGTAGCCATCCAGCAACTCAAGCCTCACTTCGACGAGGCCGGTGGTACAGGCCGAAGGCTCAGTTTGCGTGACGATCAGCGCGAAACTAGCGATGACGTTTGCCAGAGCGCATTGGGTGCCAAATAGGTTAGCCCAGCCTTTGTCGGATCTGAAAGAACAATCATGAGCTTGACGGTTGCACAAAGCTGCTATTGCCGTCGGGCCGAGCCTGGCTTTGTCCTCACTTCCACAAATTATTACGTTTGTGTGCGGTTACATGACGGGAAGAAAAAGAGAGAGCGAGAAAGAGAGAGACTCACACCTTATGTACACACACACACGCACATACGCACCCACATGTCCATGCGGGCGCGTAGACGCTTGCGTGCATCACGCATTGAAAAAGAGAGGTTAAATACTAACCTTGATAAACCGCCCGTATTGCGTTTTCTCTAGTCATGACAAGGTATAGGTACACCCGTAAGGAAGGCAATGTGGCCGCCGCTACCAACGAAATAACCACTACCAGCGACACGGCTTCATGTCTGCCGTGGCCGTATGTATGACAAGCGCTGGACCACGGGCTATGCGGTGGCCGTGGCAGCCTTGTATTCAACTTGTGACGCGGATGCTCGTGAGGCA